TGTAGATTGTAATCATCTTTTGCCCCCCTATTGTAATGAACTATTGACCCCCCTGACCACATAAAAAAATTAGTTAATTTTAGTTAAAATTCAGATAGAATTCCCTAAAATTCTTGGTAATTTTTAATTAATACAATAATCTGCTATTTTAACCTCTAATCTACATCTCTCCCTCCTCTAAAACTTTTATTACCAGTTTCTATGATTTGGCAATGATGGGTTATCCTATCGATAATTACCTTTGTTGCCTTAGGGCTACCAAATATATCCCCCCATTCTTCAAATCTCAAATGTGTTGTTATAATCAGCGAGGACTGTTCATATAATTTAGCAAACAACTCAAATAATAAGAATCTAGCCTCGGCTTTTATTGGTACATACCCCAGTTCATCTATCACAATAACATTGAACCTCTTAACTGAATCGATGAATTTTATCTCATAGTTATGCATTCTCGCATTGAGTAATTGGCTAGCTAATTCATTTAAAGTGTAGAACCTTACCCTGTAACCCCTTTCAATCGCTGTAAATGCTAAACCAATCGCTAGATGAGTCTTGGCTGTTCCAAAACCACCAATTAACATTATATTGTGGTGATTATCAACAACTTTTTGTATATCACAGTTGCTAACCAATTTAGCTTGCCTACTGTCCGAGAGTAGCTTTATTGTAGGAAACCTGGCTAGCTGTAGTCGATAATTCAATGAACGTGATTTCTTATACTGACATTCTGCTTCAAGAAGCTTTCTTAGTGTCTCATATACCGTTCCCACAGACGATTCTTTTGTTAGATCCATACCTTCAGTTAACTGCATCTTCATTCCTACTAAACCCAATTTATCTAATAACAATATCAACTCTTTCATTTAATTTCCCTCCACTGCTGAATGGATTGTTAAATGTATTTTGCTGTAGCTGCTGCAATCAGCATCTGGAGGATTTTTTAACTGAATAAACTTATATTCATTAATGTCTTCTTGCATCGCTGGTTGTAAATATTGCTCAACTAATTTAGCACTACAGCCACCAACTGCAATTGCTAGATTACAGGCATTAGTTACCTTATCTAATCCATACTTATTCACCATCTGCAAAATTGCTATAAATTGTTTATCACCATCCTTGTAGCGTTCCAGTTTATTGCGTATCGTACTAAATACCTCTGGTAATAAATTCATCAGCTCTTTAAAGGGAGCACCATTACGCAAAGCTCCTGGTTTGCGTTCCAGAGCTGAGATATAATGCCATGGATTATAAATCTTCTGATAGCGCTTGAAACAACGATCGTGTTCTCCTATAACCTTGCCTTCATATAGGATAGCTATCTGCCAAGCATAGGATTTAATTTGTACAGCAAGACCTACATATTCACACGGAACGCTATACATATTAGTATCATACTGCACAAGGCTCAAAGGTGAGACTATAGTTGGATGTAACCTGTAGGCTGTAAACTCCCCTCTATATTTTATTAAATATGGCTTTTCTTCCTCATATACTTCAAAGATTGTCCGCTCTTTAAAGTCAGGATGTTGCCTAGTTTTAGACCAATTTAAAGACATTTCTCTGAGTTGACAGTTGATATCTTCATAGCTTTCCCCTGTCAGTATTGGGGTAAAAAAGTTACGTCTAGTATCACCTACTCGTTTTTCAACTCGTCCTTTTTCCCAACCAGATGCTGGAGTACAAGCAGTCGGCACAAATAAATAATGAGACGCCATTTGAGCAAATTTCTCGTTAAAAATACGTTCCTTACCAACTAATATCTCTTTGACTGCTGTCTTCATATTGTCATAAATCCCCTTTTTACAACAACCAGCAAGAAACTTAACACCTTCTTCATGTGCTTTCATCACCATCTCAAGCTGTTCGTTAGGGTAGACAACAACCAAAGAATGACGACTGTAGCATAGTGTTATTCTTGCAGCCTTTACTCTAATAATCTCACCATTTAAACATATTTCCTCTTCCCCCCAGTCAAATTGAAAAGATTCTCCAGGTTCAAAATTTAGTGGTATAAAAACTTGTTGACCCTTTGCCTCATGTTCTCTACGAAATGCCCTGACAATTAGGTTCACAGATTCGTAACTTCCTGTGTAACCCGATATCTGAAGCTGCTGGTACAACTTCTTTGCAGTCATTCTGCGTCGAACCGACTCCTTGCTATTCTCTGCTAATAGCTGATTTAGTACTTCAAGATGATTACAATCTACAGTTTCTCCTTAGTATATTTTGCTAATTCAAATTTGGTTTGATCACTGCGAATGACTTTTTTAACTGTATTCTTTGATACATTTAATTCTCTAGCAATTTCTTTAATTGCCTTACCATCAACATGATACATCCTACGTATTTTTCCAATTGTTTCCACTATAAACATCCCTTAAAAAAACTCCTAAAAAAATATTAACAATATTAATTTTTCGGAGATATTGTTACTTATTTAGGGGGGCAATTTTGATTACAATTTTTCCTTTAAAGGGGTCAATAGTTCATTACAATTTACAGAAAGGAACAACAACTACAAGCGAAGGAAAACGAGTATCACAGAAATATCCTGCAAATCGCTAAACAAAATATGCATGATTCTGCAACTAAGAAATTTGCACGAGATGAAGCTTTGATGCAGCAAGCTTATGCCATTGGCGGG